GGAGAAGTGGTGCCTTGGGGCGTGCCCGGGATCCGAACCCGGGCCGCCAGCATCAGAGCGCACGCACTTAACCGCTAAGCCACGGAGCCGGCCCAGACTTTAATCTTAATATGTGTTTATTTGCTCAAATCAAATTTTGAACATCCAAATTAAGGATAGGAAAAACTTTAATCTATTACGATAAGTGATTCAGTATTTAAAATAAACTTTCAAGTAATTCTTATCCATTCATTAACTGAGATCCTGTCAAGATCACCATTTGTTAAGATGTAAAAGTAAAAAATTTATAAAATTTTATATTTTACTATTTTAGAAAAGAATCACTCATTCTTTTAGAAAATAATTCTTCATATAATCTTGAATTGGTGACATTTTACATAAAAATTATGTTAACATGGCATATAAGAGGGGTTTACAATAAAAAAGATTCAACACATTGCCTAGTTTGTAATTTCCATTATCTAGTTCGAAAGCAATCATCTGAAGATTATTTTGAACATATACTTACTGTTCCCAACCTGGTCGACCACCACCTGGACGAGCAGTATTTATTCTTACTGGACCTTGGAAACAAAAAAACACACAAAAACAGTAAGTATAAAATTCCATGTTAAATAAAGTTAAAATTATCTTCTAAAGGAAAAAAAGTGCAAACCAAAATGATTTTACTCACCAGTTGTGGGGATCAACTGTCCATGCAATAATGACTGTCCGAGCAAAGAGGGGGTTCCAAGTACAGGCACCTGGTAACCCTTTAGGAAAAAACCACAGACAAAAAGAATAGTGAAAAAAAAGTAAAAAAAAAATTGAAAACAAAACCCCAAAAAACTCTACTATAAAAAAGATCTCCAAATTTAAAAGCCAGTAAAACTTACTTTCTCTTCCATAAGAGCAGTAATTGCAATTGAAGAGGTTCCCTTTGAATGATCTGATGCAAGGGCTGCAGCTGGCAATAATTTATTATCAGAATCCCTAGAAAACAATGTAATTTATAATACATTAAAAAGTCATCAGAAATGGAGGATCAAGAGTAAAAATTACATCTTGTTACTAACTCTGTTTATCCATCACCTGCATTAAGAAGAGTTAAATCAAAGATGATGAAAACTTTCAAGGAAAGTGAGAAAGGATTGGACTTCTGGAGAATTCTTCATATTTAAGTGAAAAGTAAAAAGAAGAAACCTCTTTAAGAAGTACTATCTATGACAGATATAATAGAAATCGGTTAAGTTGTAAGAATACTAATGTTTAAAAAAAGAAGAAAATCACAGTGTGGGACAAAAAAACTACAGGATTAAGAGTAAATTCTACTTCCAACTCTACCACTAAGTCAAAGGGGTAATCTTGGATAAGCTAATGAACTCTCTGGCCTTATTCCCACTATTAACCAAACAAAAGGCTAAACTAGATCAGTGAGATTTCTTAAATAGACATGTGAAGGTCCCACTCCTAAAGATTTTGCTTCAGTACATTTGGAATAGACCCCTGGCATCTATCTTCTAAAAGCTGGCTGATTTTTTTAAGAATTTATGAGCCACTGGACTACATAGTCAAAGCTCCCTTTCACCTCTGAAGTGGTAAGATGAGTTAGTTTTCACTACTCTCCTATGTAATTATGCTCCAAAACAATTATTATTCCTGACCTCTCTACCTCTACCTATGTTTTATCCCCTCTTTTCCACCTATCCCAATTGTTCTTAGTTCTGGTTCAATCTACTCTTTTCCAATATCATCATTATGATCACAAGCAAATTCTCCCTCTGAACTGCAGAGCTGTTATAGTATATGATTCAACGTTTAACAGGGGTTGTTGGCAACTTGTATAGTTTCTGACCTTGGGATGCTTAACCATTTGCCAAATGAATCTCCTTCATTATGAATGCCTGTTCTCCAATAAGACTAAGTCATTTCTTTCAAGTCACCAATGTTACTGAGCACAGCAGTCCACAAGGATGATACATACTGCAGGTCACCAAAACAAATATTGAGCATACAACAATAAAAAACTACATCACTGACCTTGTTTTCTAACAGTGAGAAATATATACTTACCGGAAAGGTACATCCGATTTTTCTGAATGGACTGATATGGAGACCGTTGCAGTTATATCAGGTACAGGAGCTGGGGCAGAAGATGGATTTCCAGGCACAGGAGGGGCCAAGGAAGACTGACTAGAAGTTAATGAAGATAAAGAAGGAGCTGGGTGAGTTGATGAAGATGTTACTGGAATCATCAAAGGATCTTGTTGTCTTGATATTGGAGATCTCATCAGAGGTTGTAGGTTCCGCTGAATGAGTGGTCTCGGAGGTGGTATTGGGGGTGGCGGTGGGGGTAACTGTTTTCGTAGTCTTTTTGTATAACCAGTTTCATTTTTGAAATTATTAACAGCCTACAGACAGCAAACATAAAAAAGCAGAAAAATATAATGTAGTATTTTATTTACTCAAGTACAGTTAAATCAATTAAAATATTAAAAAGGTTTTTTTCCATAAAAGAGATACAAAGATAGCTACCTGTCGTAAGAATTTATTAGCAATTAAAGCATCAGGAGAGACATCATTTTGATGACATGTTGGACATGTATGTTCATCTGATTCCAGGAGCGCTGTTCTTATACCTATGTATAAGATTTTCAATATTAATAAAAGCATAGTAAAAACTCAGTGTTTAGGGAATGAACTAAAAAGACAGCTTACGTCTGTTCAGTTACATTACTGTTTTCCAAGCACACATGGCTAATCATTTCTATTCTTACATTAAGAAACTTAAAGGTAAAATCTCTTGCCTGATAACACTCCTTTCTGCTCTAATGTCTCTCTACCTTAAAAACAGAAGTCATGGACATAATTTAAACAAACATTTAAATTGAGAGAAAAAGCACTCTTTCTCAAATACTATTCTCTCTGTTTAGCTAGCAGTTGGAATATTATAGGAAAAAAATTAGAAATAGGAGATAGTTTAGAAAGAGACAAAAACTTTACAGAGCTAACATAGAGTTTTTAAAAAAGCATCACAAGAAAAGGGCATTATAAAAAATGGAAGCAGTATACAGGCAAGGAAATCAGAGACACCTATAGCACAATAGGTAGGAATAACACTAAATTATAGATTCACTGATTATACGTTAGTGTAGTAAAAAGTCCAGTAATAAGAAGTAATTTGTTAAATTCAAGGTCTTAAGTGACCTCTTCTTGACTTTGATCTTCACTGAAGAAGCCCCAAAATGATTTATATTCTAAAACTATCTTTAGAAATGAAAAAGGTCAGAGTAGGATTGAGCAATGAAATTTTCAGATGACACCATTTTCATTTGGGTAAAAAGGGACAAACTTAGGTAAGTGGCAGAAAAAACCCAAGTGCTAATATAAATAATCAGAAAAAAAGTCACAAGTAACCACGTGCTAAAGGCTGGGTAATATGTTTACAGAGAATAGTTCTCATTACATTTAATTATTGTAGAATAAGCTATTTTTCACAATCTACGAAAGGGATTTAGGTACCATTTAAACATACTTTCAGAAATCTGAGGACTGAAAGGTTTTAAAAATATTGTATATCATTCAAAACATATAGGAAACAAAAATTCTACATTTTATAAAAGCTCAGTATAGTCACCCTAATGAGGGTACAGAAGGTGGTCAATTCTAATACTCAAAAGGACAAAGAGGCTGTTGTTTAAAAAAAAAAAAAGTGTAGCAACAAAAATAGTTATTGCTATTAAATGCTCATTGATAAACTTATCAATTATCAACATTTCATATTTTATTATGAAAATACACAATGTTGCTAAGGGCCTTTCCAAGCAAATACACATATTCTAAAACATACGTCTTCGAAGGTTCAACATTTCTTACATTCATCACAATAACTGTTTCCACAGCAGGGAATGACAACAGCATCAGTCATAATATCTTTGCAGATGAGACACAACAATTCATCTGGGATAGGATCATCTTCTTCTGAAGAAGAAGATGGTTCCTCTGGTAAGAAAGGTGGTTTTTCTTTCTTCCCAATTGCATATGCTTCTCTGTAAAAGAAGGTTTTAGCGTCTTAACATTGCTAAGAAGGCAAAGTACTTCCAAGACATTTATTTTTTCCTACCATGCCATAATGAGAACTTATAATTCAGTAAAATGCCAAATTAGTTTATACAAGTGTAATGCCTTCTAGAATAAGGTAGCAGTTACGAACATCCTCCCCCTAAACAACAAGACATAAAACAAAATCCTCAACAGTATAACCAAAAGAAACAAAGAAATGCTATAGAGGTTAAAAGGATCTTAGAATCCATAACTCTAAGAACTGAGGGCCAGAGAGTTCAAGTTCAGTGCCACACATTCAGTCCCACAAAGTTTTTATTTAAGTGGCAGAGATAGGATTTGACCTTAAGACATGACAACACCCTAATCACAACATTCTCTAACCTACCATGTTTCCTGGAGGGAAGCGGGAGGGTCAAGGAGATTTCCCCTCCACAGTCTAACATTCCCCAAAAGCTGTGAAGGTATTAGAGTAAATGCCATAATATGGGAAACTAAAATTGGTACTGATATTACACTATTAAGGGAGATAGTTCAAGAGAAATATTATGTTGCCAACCACACAAATAATTAATAGCCAGAATTAGACTTCAAAACCAGTGGTCTACTTATAATTAGTATTTTCAAAGAGAGAATAATCTATTTACAGTCAATTAAGAAATATTAATGATTTAAATGATTAGAATATGTGTTACAAAAATATAAAGTAACACCTCATTAGACATTTTGGGTCCATTTTTCATAGAAAGGCATTTTGCAGAAATGTTGGATATTAAATATATTAAAAATTAAAAAACAAAATACGCTATTCTCAGACTCATCACCACTGCTTCCAACACTCCCATCGCCTCTGTAATCAGGCAAACTTGTAAAACAGGAATTCCTAGAGAAATCCTTCCTATTTCCTTCAGGAACAGAGTGTGTCTATCTCAAGGCTGAAAATGGAAGACTCTCAGCTGGACAGAGGAGGGTACCTTAGGTGTGTTATTTGTGTTGCAGTTGCTCCACAGACATCACCACGATTCCAGAAATAAGTATCAATTTGCTTATGCCCCATTGTTCCCAATTTGTGAAAGAGGAGTCTCCCACTGCCCAAAAGAGAGAAAAGGAAAAAAAAAAAAAAAAAAAAAAACAATACCTATAGTTTATTTGATAAGACTTATGCAAAAAAAAAAAAAAAAAAAAAAAAAAGAAGAGAACAGAGGATAGAAAAAGAAACAGAAGAAGAGTCTGAGTTGCTTATCAGTGGTGTTAGTGGAGAGGGTGAAAGTTTCATTTAAAATATTTGGGATCCCATTTTCCCCAGTATTTGCTGTGTGTTCGGCACAAAGGGGCTTTTGTATTTCAGCATTCAAAAGCAATGAAATTAATTATTAGGGTTCACAGGTGATGTTAATTTTTCCAACACAAATTTCTATTTGAATACTTTTACTTCTATATATTTTTATATTATATTAAGATGAAGCGGTCTGCTCTTAAATCGTGTCTGTAAAAATCATCAATTTCAACCTAAAGTTGTTTGGAAGCACGTATGAAATGTCTGAATTAGAAACAGCATAACAACAGACTACTCTAAGATGAACCACACAGGATGGTGACAGATAAAAAATAGATGGGGGTGAAGTTGAGAAAGTAAGCAGGGTTGGGAGTTTAGGAAACATTGTTACCTGAAAACTACAACACCGTATTTACTAAAGTACATACCACGAAACACTAGATCTTTTCAGTATCATTCCATAGCATAGCCATTTTCATGGTCCTCACTTGCTCACTACACTACATTTCAACAATATAGCATGAAGTTGAGGAAAACTGTGTTCTTATACACAATTTTTTTTTGTCATTGAGAACACTGACATCTATTCTCTAAGTTGATATTTCTCAAGGTTATGTCGTGAGGATCCCCTAATCTTGTAATCTCCTGGAGGTCTTGTTAAAAATGCAGAATCAGAGTCTTATCACATAAACTCTAAATCAAAAACCGGGGGCAGGGCACCCAGATCATTTAACACACTCTTGCAAGAGATTCTATGCACAATAAAGTTAGAGAACCATAGTCCAAAGGAACACTTAATATTGTATTGTATATTATGTGAATTCACAACTCTTGAAGGTAAGCAGAAAGGTAATTAAATATATTAATAAGAGCAGATAAAATGGGAAGTTATCTAGTTGAACTACACCACTAGGTTATGTCCATCCATGACATTAATAAATCAGCTCACAAATTAAAATCTGAAAATACATTAAAAATAAGCATTAAGGTATAGCTTGCATAGCTATAGGTGATCCAAACTAATGGTTTACAAAATAAACCATACTTTAGATCCTTAAGACTCACACAGTATATCTAAACTTATTCAAGATACCTCAGTATTTCATTTATTCTTGGCACTTAAATTTGCCCTGACATCTTGCAGAACTTTTATTCTTAAGCCTCTTGTTTCTCAAAATGATTAAGATATTTGTCTTGTTCACTTAAAAAATGCAAATAGCATATAAGACTATGTGGGAGTATGTATGTGAATGAGGAAGAAAGCAGGGAATGACAGAAAAAGAAAAAATTAGAAGACTACAAGGCAAGTGGCACTCAGTGATAACAAAAATCCCCAAATACATTTTAAATTTGCTTTAAATGGAGCAGACTGCAGCCTCATTCTTAACACAGAAATGCAACATGCGGACACTAATAGTCTCGATATACAATGTTCACAAGGAATCCAAGTAGCCATGTTACAAGCCCAAGATTAAATAAAACCCTATAAACTGGACTGACTGTAGTCTCCACGGGTCATACCTAATTTGAATACTTACGCATCTATAGTTGGTATTGCATATTTTCCAGTGTTGGTAAGCATTGCACCTTTCATGTTAGGATCTTTCACTTCCATCATAAAACTTCTGGGAATTCCAGTGCTCTTTTTAATCCTAGGACCAGATTCAAAGTTCTTATCCTGCTTGGAGGGGAAAGGAGGGCGAAGGAAGAGAAAAAGCAGTTACTTTTATTTAACATTAGCTAATACGCAGTGCTTACTAACTGGTTATATTATTTGCAGTGCTTTACATATATGATCTCATTTAATCCTCACAACAGCTGAGTGAGGTAAGTACTATTACCATCTCCATTTCACAGAGAAGAAATAACAGGCTTGGAGAAATCAAGTAACTTGCCCAAGTTCACTCCGCTATTAAGTGACACAGCCAGGCTTTGAAGCCGAGCAATTTGGCTCCAGAGGCTGTGCTCACTTGCCATTGTAATAGAGAAGGCAGTATTTACCAAGAAAAATAAGATGGCTAAGAAATAATTGTAAGAAATATAAGGTGTACTTTCTGCTTTGCACTTACCCCATTTGTTGGGCAATTCTTAATATAATGGCCAGGTTTACCACAACGAAAACAGGTATAAGATGGAGGTGGTGGACCTAGAGGTTTCTTCATGTAACTGAAAGAGAAAAAAAAAATTACATGTACACAAAGACTTGAAAAAATAATGCTTTTGACTGGGGGGGAGACCCACCCCAAAGTACCTATTAGTATAAAGTATTTATGAACTTACTTGATTGGGTCGTATTCATGGCCAGATTGCGACATCATTGCTTTAATTTTATCTTCTTCAGAAGCATTGGCTTCAGCCAGATTGGCAGTCTGTTTAACAGGTAATTATTTGACACACACATTAGAAACACATTTAAGACCACACAGCCAAAGACAACACCGTTCATCCTGTAAAGAGCAGTATCTAATCTTACATAAAAACAGTATTTACATGTATAACCTAGAAGAGGCACTAGGAGTTCCTTAGGTCATTACATGATGTTTGAGTGTCCACGGGGCTGAACAAAGTCTTTCTAGGGGCACTCAAACCTTAGACCCTGTTTGTACCTTACGTTAAGATTTCCATACTACTCCTCTAAGAGTTTAAAAACTGAGATTAAGTAAGGAGAGAAACACTTGATATTTTTAAACCTTAAAAAGTAATTCAAGTGTCACAGCATGAAGACTATAATTTATACTTATAACTTGGGGGTTATACAAGTTGGGGGTAAAACAACTAAACATATTATGCACAGATATTAGAAGCCAGAAGGTACTCTTTAGGTAGTGGGGTCAGTTTCAAATTAAGTGTAAAGCATGTGCATTGAGAGTTCATAATTTTAAATGCAACTCTCCAAAGCTTTATGACCTTCATCTTTAAGGTATTATATACAATAGTCTAGATATAAGCAGGGTCTAAGGGAGTGAATCCTAGTAACTTGAATCTCCAATCATCTAGCACTCATATCAGCCATTCATTGGGTTTTATCTTTACATTCATCCACAAAACAAGCAACCAGTTTTAACATTTTATTGTAATTTTATATACAAAGAATGCTTAACATTAACAGAGCTTAGAACAACAGCAACATTTACAGAAAACTGGATTACAGATGTTGAACAACTAATTTGTTTGAACCCAAACATTAATTTACAAATAATTAAAAAAAAAAATCCCCCAAACCTCCAAAACTCCCCAACTGCTTCCCACAAAGAAACAATGGTAGGAATAGACCAAAACTCATATATGGTCCTTACAGTACATAAGAATTAAAACAGTGAACTATAAACCACTAAAGATGTTAACTCTATGCTAAACCACTTCGCATTAGAAAATTATGAGAGGATGGTTTTAGCCCATTTTATGTTTTAATAATCATCAATTTTAATGTTTAGTTTTCCCAGAAAAGGAGCTTAAAAAAGCTGCATTTGTTACTTGGACATTTTTTGGGATACATTCTAGGGGAAAGGACACAATCTAAAACAACGCCAAGGACAAGATAGGGACAGCACTAATGGAAAACCTATCTACTCATTAATCTTGGTTGCTAAATTTGGTTTTACATTTCTGATAGTATGGAAAAAAGGATTTTTGGAAAACTAGAAAACGTCCTTCTTAGCCCTCAAAAATCTGCCTATTCTGCAATATTTGCCTTTTTTCTTTTAAAGGCATGATTTGCAAGCTAAATCTATTGTCTTAAAAAGTAATCCATCACTAGTGCTTTCCCAAACAAAAGGTACACATTGTTGAGCAGAAAATGCAAGCAATCTTATAGCAAACATGGTATATACAATAATTTCAGGAGGTAACAATTTGCCCTCTGCCAAACATACACATTGGTATATTCCTGCAAACAGCTTTATACATTTACACAATTCATGTAGTCTGTGTTCAAACAAATTAGGTTGTTTAAAACTTTTTCTAATGCAGACAGACTACAAGTCTATAGCAGAAAGAAACAATTGTATCACATTTAAAATGCTGACCTTCATAGGATCAATTCAAATATTCAAGAAATAATCACGCAATCGTCCATATAAAGGAAAGCTTCTATTTTGGCTGCTTAAAGAAAGTCCACATAATTTACAGCCAAAACCAGAGAATTCCTCCAGAACTTTTGTTACTTTTCCAATGTATAATTAAACAAAATGTATGAGGGAAAAAAACAAGTAAGTGCAGCTTCATGTGTTTCTTCTGTCTTGAAGATGAATAATACTCCAACATTATGGTGAGGCTGACAGAATACTCCCCCTATCTTCTCAAAACGACAACTACTCTTTAGATATAGTAAAAATATGCACACTGTTTTTGCAAAATATCTCCTCCCCCAACCTCTCTTAAAACAACTGTTCCACATTAAAAAAATACAATGTTAGAAAAAGATTTATATTTTCAAGAATATATATATATATATACCTTTGTAAGCTGGGCCAGAGAAATAGATGCAGAAGAGTCATCAATCTGTTCACAAAAAATTAAACACACATTCAAGTTCCACACTGAAAACATCTGAAAGTGATCATTTAGTCCCTACTGCCACTTAATGTTCAAATATTGGGCATTTTCTTAGAACTTTTCTAAAGAATGTTATTTTCTGTTTTAAAGCTGCAAGTGTAACTCACCCTACTTCATCCTTCTCTACATATTTCACATACAGTAATAAAGGATAATAGTTGAGGGAGACTCAATTACAATGAAAAAATGGGGTAAAGAAAAGTACATCCCATAGGAGATCTGTTTGGACTGGTGACTAAAACTAAATTAGAGTCCTGTGTCTATCAATGATCTCTAAATTTGATAATGTTCAAGACAATGTGCACTATAGAAGAGAGAATAAGGAATCTTTCTAACCTTCCTGGAATGCCTTTATATAACATTGTAAAAACAAGCAGTTCTTTAAAGGCTCAGATAATTGCTTTAATAAAACAGCTCCAACATAATTGCTACTTTTTAATCTTTTTTTGTACTGCTCAGTCTGAATAAATTTGTTTATTCTCCCAGATAAAGTAACAATAGCTTCTTGCCAAAGAAACCACAACTTCATCAGCGCAAAGATGTTAAAGCCAAAAATGGAGAAACAAAAAGTACCCCAGGGCAAGGGCAAACAGAGCTGTTATATATGAGGATGGACTTTACCATGTGGGGAAAAAGAAGTTTAAAAACATTAGCTTCCTATGTAGTTAAGTGGTTTGCTTATTCAACATGTTATAAATTTCTCATGCATTATTGGTCAGAACTCTTGTTTAAAATGGAAAGAATGTAAAAAGATGTCTGGATCAAAGGGAAAAAAAACAAAGAAGTGAGTCTTCATCAGGTATTTTTCAAGTATTCCAGAGAAGTAAGAATATTAAAATAAAAGCAGCATGACTTAGAGCCTCAATAAAAATGTAATTGGCTTCAATATGAAGTTCTTAGCACAATGCCCATCACGTAGGAATTCAATAAATGTAAATAAAAATAATGGCTAAATTTAAAATAAACCCTATAAATATCTTAGGGTTTTAAAAGTTAGTTTGATGGATATTATTACTGGGATGCATATTTAAACAGAAGGTTCTTAGCTCCACATTGAGGGACTGTAGAGTGCATAATGCACTAATCCCACATTCCATATAATCCACCAATGGGTTCTCACTCTTGCCCAGCTTTGAAATACTCTTTCCTTAAAGAACTAATTTCAAGGGGTAATTTAATAAATAAATAAATATCCTATTTTTATCCAGAATTAATTCTGACCTATTCAATTTTCAAGAGGGTTACATTTTACACCAACCAGGAATTACCTGAATTTAAGTAACAAGAACTGAACAAATTGCTGTCAATCATCATCTATACTGTTTCTAACCAATGAAACAAATTAATAGCCTTAAGAAATAGTCCATTACTATCTAGAAGATGAATACTGATCATGTCCTTAGAAAGAAAGCAATTGGTTATATTAACTTTCTTACCACTGGAACTATAAAAAAAAACATTTTTGGTTCTTCCCACTCCTAACACTTAAGATATAACTGTCTTTTTGTTCTTATGCTGGGCTTTCTTGTCCTTTCTTTTTAGCTTTCTGTCAACTTGTTATTAGTATCATATATTTATTGAGTTGAAAGTGGTTTCAGATATGCAATAGCATCTAAATCACTTTTTTTCAACCAAATAATCAGTATAGCACCTAAGTACCTTATAATCCAGAAGGAAGTCAAATTTACCACCAACTTACAAAGGCAACCAATTGTTTTCTACATATACCAAGGTACTAAGAAATAAGCAAAAAATGCTGACAAGGAATGGTTTAAAAATGACAAGGAATTTATATGTACTAAACACCAATCAATACAGTAACTCTCAGATACTAATGCTTAAGAAAAATCTGCCATGTTAAAAAAAAGTAGTCTTCAAAAAAACTAACTGATGCACACTGTAGACACCTTAAAATTAAGCCACCTCCCCACATCTAATTTGTGGTCTTGCATCTGGGAGCAAGAATCTGAAATCCTTTATGTCCACTATACTTGCTTGAAATTAAAGGATCCTACAAAATGTAATTCTGATGTTTAGTTAGCAGGAAGAACATCCAGCACTGGAGTACCAACATAGAAGGATGACTAAATAAAACAAATCTGAGGAATACAGACAGAAACAGCCATCCTTGACTAGAGTTGGCTTAAGTTACCAAAAATGTATATACTTTTACTGATTAGAATTTTAAAAATCTGGTTTAAGCAACTCTTATTTTGCTTTTGTGAATGTGTACAATACACGTGATTCTTAAATCTCCTAAGATGGGCACTATTATGCTTGATGAATATATTCTCTCTCATCCTAAATGTCAGCAAATGTACCCCCAGCAAATAAATGATGGGGATATTAAATTATCTAATGTCTCGAATTTAGATAATTCTACCTAAAAATTAAAGCCACTTTTAAAGTATTAAAAAAAAAAAAAAAAAGAAAGAAAGAAAAGAGAAACCTAAATAAGCATAAACCAAACTGCTTCTTATAAGTGTAATACAGACATGCCAGGGAACACACAAGGCTAAAAGAATGTTAACTTTATTTATGAACATGTGATTTGTGTTTATACACATGCTAATAAACAAAAAGGAAATAACTGTTTTCAAGAAATAAAACTTCATCTGAATTAGTTTAAATACTATATAAAATGTACTTTATACAAAATGTGTTACATTAACTACTACAGTCACCAGGATAGTCAATCTAATTCGTGCTAGCATTTGGATACATAAAAATCAGTTTTAAACCAATCACCAGCAAAACAGAAACTTGGACAGTTTTTACAGCAATATGCTTAAAAAAAAAAAAAAAAAGACCCATATACTCCAAAAGAGGGGGAAAAAAACCCAAAACACTAAGAGTTTTGATCTTTGAATCACTATATTTAGTTGCATGAGAACTGAAGGCCATATACTTTAGAGAACAAGTCCAAAGTTCAGATATTCTATGTTTTCATGTTTAAGAGCCAATGATCCAAGGTTAGTGAAATGCCTGATACACAATTAAAGATCAGTAGTATTTAAAAAGGATAAAGTGAAACAGCAAGCAATACCCTTGAATTCTAAATGAAGATTTCAGACATCATGTATTATATACAAATCAAGCCTGAGTAGTAAAATGTTTAGAGAACCATCAAGTTTATAGAACCCAATTACTACAGACCTGTGTTCTGAAACAGATGTTTTACCCCACAACTTAGGAATGCTGCTACCTTTTACTTAAGAGCTCAAAGTCAAAATGGTGTCATAATTAAAGTTGATTTGTGATAATAAAAATTAAGATGTTACCCTGGGTTAAGGGGAGTTACCTTCAATAAACTACAGCTTTCAATTAGCTTACAATTAATTAATGCAGCATTTTAATGTCTTATGAGAAAGAGGAAAATATTTTAATTTGGACAACTGAGCAGACTAGAAGTGGAAGACTTTGTATTTAAAATTTGAAAACAATGTACTCAATTGTATAAAATCATCAACAAGACATTTATATACTCATGGGGAGCCCAAATTCAAGTTTCACTTTATATATAGTATGGACATAAACAAAGAATAGGAGCTCAAAATTGTCAAATAAAGCAAAACTAAATAATTAAGCTGCATCAATGGTCTCTGGAAAGCTCTTTTCTATGATGTGTCTGAACTTGGAGAAAGCATCAAACTTTAATATAAGCTTTGCATGTTGCTAATGCATTTTTCAAAGCCATCAATTAGGCAGAAAAAAAAAACTAACAAAACTAAGTGATACAACGTGAAAATGGCAAAATATACACTCCAAACATTTTTTTATTGCAAGAAACAAAAAGCACACAACAGCCTGTACATACATACAAAATACTAACTATAGACAGACAGATGTAGAACATGTTATCATGTTCATTAGTGTAAAACCTACACGATCTAAAAAGGATCATACATTAACTGTACAACACAGCGTCATACAGGGAGAATACTATCATATTTAATATGAAACAGGGTTTTTTGGGCACAAATTACCCATTTCTACAAAATAAGTGTGCAAATTATGCCACATATATCCATATTCAACTGCGCTGTCATCAAAATACATTTTATTTACAATATGTACTATGATCAGTTGGATAGTAAGTTCTAAAACGATTTACTTCACTGCTACATTATAAAGGTAAAAGCAATGTGTAGAAAAAGTGTGAGATTGTGTTTTTACATACTGCTTTTGAAGTTCCCATCACTGGTTCAGTTCGACTTCTAAAAAATAAAAACAAAAATGACATTAGTTACCTATGAGCAGCTATGTATGAATTTTTGTGCTAAAAAATCTTATCACACATTTTTAGGAACACAATTTTCCTTTGATATAAAGATTTAAAACCAGCCAATTTCTGAGGTAATGAATACACTGCTTTGATTAATCTTTACTACCTCTGAACAGTTTAAGATGTATTCATGGTTTTAAAAAAAAAATCCATATTGGGGAATTCTAGAACAGGTGTACCTTGCCACTTATAATAAATGTTTTCTGAAACATAGTATGAGGATTTTATGTTAAGAAATTTTGTGGTTATTTAATGGACTGAATATTTATATTATTCCCCAGTTTTGTTTATTTTTCGAGGAAGATTAGCTCTGAGCTAACATCCATGCCCATTTTCCTCTACTTTATAGGGGATGCCGCCACAACATGGCTTGATAAGTGGTGTGTAGGTCCGAACCCAGGATCCAAATCTGCGGAGCCCTGGATCCAAATCTGCGAATCCTGGGCTGCTGAAGCGGAGCGTGCAAACTTAACCGCTACGCCACCAGGCCAGCTCCAATTCCTCAGTTTTTAAATAGGTACAGATGTAAATTTTCACACACCAGATTTTCTTAAAGCAAGAGCACTGTTGTAAACAGTTATAACTTGGATCCCTGAGAAATTGCTGTGCTCCAGAAACTAAATTTCAAATCCAGATAGTTGATAGTTACTTTAATTTTTTTTCCCCCCAAAGCCCCAGGAGATAGTTGTATGTCATAGCTGCATGTCCTTCTAGTTGCTGTAACTTTAATTTTTTTAAAAGTCTCAAAAAAAAATGACCAAAGATTAAACAAGAAGTCTAACTTCCAGAAAAATGCAACATAGTCTGACAGAATATTTTAGTTAAAAGAATGAGTTAAATGATTATGGAGAATTGGACAAATTGATTTTTAAAAGTAAATACAAATAAGCCCAGGCAGAAATTCTTTTAAAAGTCCACAAAGGAAAAGGGACAGGAGTTGAGTTGCTAAATATAGCATTTTTTTTTTTTTTTTAAAGATTTTATTTATTTTATTTTTTGCCCCCAAAGCCCCAGTAGATAGTTGTATGCCATAGCTGCACACCCTTCTAGTTGCTGTATGTGGAACTCGGCCTCAGGATGGACGGAGAAGTGGTGCCTCGATGCGCATCTGGGATCCGAACCCGGGCCGCCAGCATCGCAGCGCACACACTTAACCACCAAGCCACAGGGCCGGCCCTAAATATAGCCTTTAAATGCTTAGTTTTAAGTTTATGATATCCTGACTACAGAGAAATATTAGACAGCATCTGAAAGGAGTTTCTAAGTTTGTGCATATTTGGAAATCCTCAGATAAAAATGAAATTTTCATTTTCTAGTATTTGCTCAACAAACTCGGAGGCATTTTACATTACAAAGGAAATCACACACATAATGATTTAACATGCAAATCTGTATAAGAGCCAACTTATTTTGCCATGCACTTCCAATAATTCTCTCCCCAATTGTTTCTGAACATCAAAAAATCTACTGAAACTGAATGTTTGCTGTTTTAAAAAAGCACTTGGTAAAGTTGTAATTTCACACTAGAGTCTAGGAATTAATTGTTCCTTTATAATTTCTCAAAATTATATAAAGTTAAAAACACATAGTTCACTGGGTATTTACAGCCAAAAAAAAAAAGTATTCAGCTTTTTAAGTTGTTACTATACAGTAGAGAGTATACAAAAGGACCTCTAAATGTTAAGCTAGGGAATATAACTTTAAAGCAAACTAATGAGAATAATCTTAGAATGAATGCTTGCCCACATGAGGTAAAGCTCCAAGAAATCACTTTATTTTACCTCAATTCCAAGAACACATTCCACTTCCTAGGACTGGCAAATTCCAGAATTTTTCATTGACCAAAAGCAGAATTTGCCAAACTGTTTCAAATAAGGCTACCTAACTTGTAAGGGGAAATCACTACCCTTTTTAAATAGCCCAAGTTGTTACCCTTTTCACATACTATAATTCTATTACCATTAAAATTGCAAGAAAGCAGAGAAAGTTAAAGACAGTTTTTTAAAATTTTTTTAATTGATGTCTTAATAGTTTATAACATTGTGAAATTTTGGTTGTACATTATTGTTTGTCAGTCACCATATAAATGCCTCCCTTCACCCCTTGTGCTCACTCCCCACCCCCTTGCCCCTGGGAACTACCATACAGTTCTGTCTGTGTGTTGGTTTATATTCCACATATGAGTGAAATCATGTGGTGTTTGTAAAGATCTAGTTTTAATCCTGCCTCCTTAGTGAATTTCTTAAGCTCTAGACTAGTCCTAAGCTAGTGCTATGTTCTTACCCCAATAAGGGGCATTTACCATGTGCCAGGTACTGTTTAATTCTTACAACTCTCCTAAGTACTCATATCTCTATTTTATTTTGAGGAATCTGAGGCACAAACGTTAGATAATTTACCCAAAGTCACACAACTGGTGTGAAGCAGTAAATGGAGTCAAACCTAAGCCTGATTCCAGCATCTGTGCCCACAAATCCTATAAATTCAACAGCCTCCCAACAAAAGCCCCTTATTGATGAAGAGCAAATGTTAGAATTTCTGAATACTCTTGATGCTGTCCGAATACTTAGGACAGAACTCTTAAGACACACACATTTTTGTAGTGAAAAAACAGTAGGGAAAAAATAAAGTGTGTAGGCAAATAAAAACCAAAGGGTACAGAAATATTTATTCACTTATTTGAACATCATTTTCTTGTCTTTGAAAATACTGCCTATATAGAGCAAAAATTCTTCCTAATAGCTCTTACTCCTAACTACAGGCTGACTTAACTGGGGGAAGAAATCCGAAAAAAACAAACAAACCCATCCTCATAGTTTTAATGATTGAGAAAATATATTCATTAGGGTAAAGTAATGAGTTTAGTTCTAAAATACACTTGTTCTTTCTCATAATATCAAAAGTCTATTTTGAGAACTTAAGTTATAAATACTTACATAACGTATGTCTTGCTTGTAGATTTGACACCTCCAATAGGAATTCTTCTAACAATTACAGATGAATTCTTAGGAATTAGAGCATTATCATCAGTATATTCTGCAAACAAAAAAGAGAGTTGAATTTCTATTTGGGGATTTGGGTAAGTCATGGGCCTCAAGAATTAGAAAACTTCAACCAAACATAAATTTTATGGGAAATAAATATACTAAAGCATTAATGACTAGATGTTCTTTGCATCTAAATTACTGATATTGTCAGAACAAATAACCAAAGCCACAGGAGTTTCTCTTCAAAGGACATCAAGCAATGTCAGTAGGCTTTTGGTTCTGGCACCTCTACTTTTGTGGAACTCCAAATCTCAGAAAGACTAAGTCATTCTCGTTTATTTAGCTAGTAATGCTGAACATCTGAACTATGAGAAAAAGCTGTTATTTAGAAGGAAGAAATTTGGTCTCTCCTAGCCCCTAAACATGAGTATTACTGGGGAAGACTTTAATTTAAAAAATTAAATTATGACATGTTGTGAATACAGAAAAAAGGGTTTTAGAACAAAGAATTAAATGTGGGATGCAACTTTGGACAGAATGCTGATTGAAGGAAGGCCCCTCTGAGGTTTGAGTCTTAAAGACTGAGAAGTCAGCCAGATGTGCAAAAAACCTAAATAAAGAGTGTTTCAGGGCCCGCCCCGTGGCTTAGCAGTTAAGTGCGCACGTTCTGCTACTGGCGGCCCGGGTTCGGATCCCGGGCACACCCCGATGCACCGCTTCTCCAGCCATGCTGAGGCTGCGTCCTAGAAGGATGTGCAACTATGACATACACTATCTACTGGGGCTTCAGGGAAAAAAAAAAAGGAGGAGGATTGGCAATAGATGTTAGCTCAGAGCCAGTCTTCCTCAGCAAAAAGAGGAGGATTAGCATGGATGTTAGCTCAGGGCTGATCTTCCTCACACACAAAAAAAACAGTGTTTCAGACAGAGGAAAGACGTGAAAAAATACACAAAAAGGCGAGAATAGCTGAAGAAAATGAAAAGAATGATTGAAATACAGGCAGAAAGGTACAGATCATACACTGATTTTTATTTAGTTTCTAAGTACAACAGGAAGTCACTTAAGGATATTAAACAAAAATGATGACAATTTATGTTAAAAATAAAAAAAGGTAACTCTGTTATCTAAGTGGAGAATGAATCCGTAGGGGAACAAGAGTAGAAACAAGGTGATTAATAAGGAGGCTGCTGCATAGTCCAGGTAAGAGATAATAGGGTTAGGGTTAACTGCCGGGATGTGACAGATAGAGAAATGGAGTCAGAATGTTTTGAGGTACAAACAATAAGGGCTCGGGATGGACTGAATGAGGGGCGGGGTAGGTGAATGAAGGAGTAAGAGGAAGCAAGCATGAATTCCTGGATGCCTGGCTTAAGCAACTGGATGAACAGTGATGTCACTTTCTGAGAAGACAGGGAGGATGAATGGACCCTATTTTTCTACTCTTTGGACTATTACTTGCAATACTTCTGTAAGAATGAAATTAAAAAAGAACCTGGACCAATGAATTTAACTACGGTAAAAAGATTTGCTAAGGAAGGAATTTGTAAAATTACCAAAAAGGAAAATAACCCACTACAGGGAGATAGATGTAAAAAATGCACCCATCTCCCTTAATCACACAATCAGATATTAGAGTCCACTCTTAAGGTTACTGAGTTTACTTGCTTCACTTAAGCTATTCAGCACCAAGCGGCTGAATATTTCTGTTCTCCCAATTATTTCAAGTTTATCACATATGTAAGCATTTTAAGCTTTTATATATAAATCAGCCTTATTATTTTAATCATAATACTATTAGTATTCCCGGATATAAACTAAATTGTTCAGGAAAGTTCAGTATATTTCAAGTAGTCGGCTCTATCTCATAGCATCCAGTTAGAGTGATGCAATTTCCCAGGTTCAGGCATACCAATGTTAAGACTATCATCATTATCTTGGATAGTTCATAATAGTCCCAAATTCCAAGCAAGCTTTGAGTAAGAAAAATTGGGAGCAGGAGAGATGGGGCATCTTTAAAAAGTAAACTCCAGAAATAAAACCTGATGTCAGATACCTGACAGAAAGTTTCTGAATATGTAACAACTCTCAAAAGCATTCACTGGAGGAACAAAGAGCAAATGTGTTTACGGTAGCTTTCCAAGACAACTTATTAATTTGATCAGCATAGTACTGGGTCAAACTAAAAGTCAGATGCCCAACACCAGATGCTCTAATTGACCTTTTAAATATCTGAATTACCTTGATGATTTCTTATCCTTAAAATATCTCGTTAACCTCTTGTTAGCTTCAAAGGACTCTTTCTATGAGCCACTATAATTTTCGATCTAAAAACATGAAGACCACGGATGGAATGAAAAACAAGATGAATTACAGAAAATGAAGAAAGATTATAAGTCTTTTAAAAATACTTCATCCTCAGCTTCCAAATCTTTCACACTAAGTTCAGAATGAAGGTTGTTTTGTTGTTGTTGTTGGCGGTGAACGGGGGTGAGGGGTGATAAGATGCAGAAAAGTAGGAAAACAAGTTTATATAGTAAAGTTATATAGGAAAAACATAACGAGATCATTTGATTCATTTTGAACTACAGTCTAGAAATAAAGAAGCAGGATTCTTAAGTCTAAAACATGAAATTCTGAACCAAGCATTTCAGTCTACTCAAGATTTAAAGGTCTTAAACATGGACAGATTTCCAAAACTGTAAGAAACGTTTTATAGAAACATGGTAGGTTGGGTAATTTAAACACTAATTCAAACTAAAGTGATCCAGCTCAGCATTCTCTCCTAGGCAGTCTCCTACCTATGAAGCTATAAACATTTATTTTTTTACTCTTTAATTCACTGGATGGTGCTAAAACCAAGTGGCATTCTTACTCAACTGCCTTTTAACACTGGATCCTATTTCCCATAAAACTCAGTAAGTGACTACCCTCTGCGCTACTCTCTGCGCTACTATCATTGATATCTTTTTATTGCATAAAAAGCACATTTCTCCCCTGAAAGTTCCTTCTCTTAACTAATCTAATATCAAAACTCTTAAATTTGTGGACAGGAATTCCATCAACCATAATTTACTCCAGTCTAACGAAGCTGTATTATTAGGTGGAAAAGATGGACAAAGTCTAGCCCCAAATATTAAATCACATAATACTCCATTAAAATATGAAACTTGCATAGTATATGATTAAAATTGCCTTAATACCCTAATTTCATCTATGTTTTCTTTCCTCTTTCAAAAGTATCATTAATGTATCAAGATGGCCTAAATTTCTTATAAATCCATCTGTTCTGTGAAGTGTGACTATAATACTTAAGGGATGCTTTTCGTGGCTTTAATGAAAGAATATTTCCCTAAGATATATTCTTGAATAAATATTTTAAAAAGCTGTTTCTTGGCGCCGGCCCAGTGGTGTAGTGGTTAAGTTTGCACGCTCTACTTCGGCAGCCCAGGGTTCAAAAGTTCGGATCCTGGGTGCAGACCTACACACCACTCATCAAGCCATGCTGTGGCAGGGGTCCCATGTATAAAGTAGAAGATGGGCACAGATGTCAGCCCAGGGCCAATCTTCCTCAGCAAAAAGAGGAGGACTGGTAACAGATGTTAGCTCAGTGCTAATCTTCCTCACCAAAAAAAAAAAAAAAAAAAAGTTGTTTCTCAACTGTTCATGACCACCACTAACTTTAACTCTCCTGAAGTAGAGGGATGCTACACATAATTACAATTACTAAAGCCTCACATGAAGTGTCCTTAGGTATGACATGTTTAAAAAAAGAGGGAAGTGGAGAATATTCTTTCATGTGTTATCATGTGATAAATAAAGTTCTTCCTTAATGAATATTTTTGAGTCATGATACGCCAGTAGTGCTGTTCCTTAACATAAGACAATTATATTTCTGGATGTAAATGGAAAATGGCTCTCTTACACAAGATTTACTCTGTCAAACCATAAGCTAGAAGTGCTCCTTCCATTTCAACTAAAAGAACCAATATCACACCTTAAGCCAAATTTAGCGATCAATAAAATATCCTAACCTAATCAGAATTTCACTTTATTTCTTCTCATCTTATCAAAAAAACTCAAAGGGCTGACCCACTGAAAACTACACATCAGCATTACAGTTCTGAGAAAAGGAAACCAAGACAAGTTCAGTCAGAATCTAAAAAGGGTGTTTGTCACATTTTTTATCTACTGTTAAATTCTCAATATTATAAAATGCTTTTAAAAAGAAGAACTTAAAGATTCCAATCAGTGGCTTATTTGTACTCCTATGGTAGCAACCTACCATTTTTCAGTATTTTAGTATCAACATAATCATGTAAAGTCTAGCAATTACTACTTTAAAAAAAGAAAAATTTGTTTTGATCTTTATTGAATTTACTGAATTGCTAAATTTTAAGAGTAATGTGATGAACTAAGAGTTCAACTACTTAATTACTGTATTACTTAATTCTGGAATTTATGCACAAGACAAAAGTGGTCACATCAGAACATATCAAGTTCCGAAAGCAATTCCAACACTAAAGACTGGCTGGATTAAATTCTGCAAAGTATTAAAGTGAGGATCCCTTCTCCACAACACAGGCAACTCCAAAGTAAAAATAAATAAATAGCGGGAGGGTGAAGAGGAGAACATAAAATTTGCTATTAAACCCCAAAGCGTTGTTAGGTTTAGAAAATTAAAGAAGTTATCTCTGTCGCTGCTTTAACAAATAAGAAGCCTTGCATATGCTCTCCTTCCCTCCTCCTGACGAAAAACAAGTTAGCAAACGCGACAAGGCAAGCGAGCACCCAAAGAACCTGGATAACACCCCCATCCTCTCCCATCTGAGAGGCATAACCAGACTTCCGTGTTTTGGGATTAGCCTGTTACAGATGATCCAAGCACGGAGAAATCAGAACTCCAAGGCAGACGGGGGCAGCCCTTGGCTATCAATGAAAGTTGGATCAAAAGTACTAGAACGAACGATCAGTCCCACAAGAGACATAATGGCGGTTAGTCTTCTGCCAAGCATCTCACAACTAAGACCTATCTTCGACCAGCAAGTATCTGGAGCCCATGTGGCTCTTACCTTCTTTCGTCTGCGCGTTGGTGATCTGCAGGTCGCAGTCGGCAGCTTTCAGCTTCTCTCTCCCCATAATCTGCTTCTTTAAGTCGCAGAGGGAGATGTGGAGCCCATCAAAGGTGACGGTATCATAGTTGAGTTTAGAGGAAAACTTATAATGCACACAGGACATGGTGCCAAAGGATTCCTAAGGTTCAGCGAGGAGACGTGGACACTCTCAATATATGTATATTTATAAACTTAAGAGCAAAATATGTACACACACAAAACACTCAAAGACACCGAAGGACCCTAAGGCCTCAGATTAAATACCCCCCCAACCACAAGCAGGGCTTCGTAAAAACAGCAATCCAGAACCCCCCCGAGACTCAGGATCACTTCATGTGGGAGGAGGTGGACGAGGACCGGGAAGAGGAAATCGAGAATCCGCCAACGGGCACAATGTCACCCGGCTGGGTCCCCCTCGCTCATGCTAAGGGCCGGCAGGAGACGGGGGGCAGGCGGTGCAGTCAGTGAGCGGTCAGTCCACACGTTAGAGTCCAAATGACCCCGCGGGGTCAGGGGTCCATAGCGCGGCCGCACCTCCCGGCTGGTCTCTCTTTCCGTGGATGGGGGTGACCCAGGCCCCGGGAGGAGGCCGAGGGGAGAGGGTCAGGCCCGGAGTCCACGAGCGGCCTCTCGCCTCCTCCTGGCTTCCGGACGACGGGCGGCGGCTTCCCCAGGCCCAGGCCCCCGCCACACACAAACCCCTGTCGCCTGCTCCCCGGAGGCCCCGCGCGGCCCCGCGGCCTAGGCCGAAAACGCGCGGTCGGCGGAGGAGAGGCCTTCCCGCAGGCCGCCCCCGGCTCCGGCTCCGCCTCCCCCCCGCCGCCGCCGCCGCCGCCGCCGCCTCAGACACAAAGCCGGTGTAGGCCTCAACTAGGCCTCGAGGCGCTTCCTCACCACCCCGGGCCCCAGCCAGCGGCCGGGGGGCTTGGCGGACCCTGGCGCCGCCGCCGAGGCTCCCTGACGCTTCCTCTCGCCGTGTGCTCCGCGCTTCTCTCGCTTCTCGCTCCCGTCGCCTTTCGGCCCAGAACCGCGAGAATACGCCCGGAAACCGCCGGGCGACGGCAAGGGCTTCGCCGGCTCCCTTTTTGTTCTGCCCCCCCTGCCGCTCTCGGCCCTCACCAGGCGCAGGCGACACCTCCAAGCCAGGCACTATGGCGGACGCGGCCTGGCTGCGGGCGAGCGCCCACTCCGGGGTCTCTTAAGCAGCGATTGCACGGGCGGCGCGCGCGGGGCGGGGCCGGCGTGCGCGGATAGGCGGGCCGGGAGGCGGGGCCCGCGGCGTCACAAAGCGCACCGGCTCACCCACGTGACCTCACGTTCTGTGACTCCGGAGCGCGGAACCTGAACCAGCCGGGGGAGCGGAAGAAACCATCTGCCTCGAAAGGGAGGGGGAGGCTGCCGAGAGGACCGGCTCATAGTGCGGTTCCGGGAGGGGAGCTCAGCTTTCAGCTGCTACCGTGCGAGTTTCCACGGCAAAGTGGCGTGCCGAGGGGTGGCCGGCTAACTCCTCGTTCTCCACAATCCTCACATCCCCAGCAACTCCCCCAGTTTAAGTAAACATTATGGTTGCTATGCGGTACACTGGTTGCTATGCGAGCACCCCCTAGCTTCCCCTTCCGACAAACTGGCTACCCTAAGCTCTTCCTAAGTGGAAATTCTGCAGCAGCCCCTGGCTGGAACTGATAACAACAACAACCATTATAAAGATTTATTGAGCTCTTACTATGTGCTAAACACGGGGCTAAGCGCTTTATAACACTGCCAGGCTCTGGTTCCAAGTTGTCTGGGTTGGAACCCTAAATGTACTCTAGATTTAACGCCTCTGTGCCTCAGTTTCTTTGGCTGTAAAATGCTCTTAAAAATAGTACTTGTTTTATTGGATTTTTATGCATTAAATGAATGAATACGTTTCCATTGTTTAGAACCATGCCTGATACATGGTTCAATGTGTCTTAATAAATGTGACTCAATAAGTGTCAGTTTAACAAGATCAACAAAAAACCCTAAGTGATCAGCACTCCATTATCTCCAATTTATAGATGAGGGAACTGAAGCTAGTGATCATGCACTTTCTGAATTCGCAGAATCAGGGGAATGCCTACTCAGTGGCAGGTCCGAAATCCCCTTCCTAATTGTGAATGCCAGGAACTGTGCCAAGAAGCCCCTCAATGGACTGGAATATTTTTTCCTTGGGGCCTGGGGAAGTTATTATTACATCTATAAAATTCACAAGATAATAAAATTGCATTCATAAACTGTAATAATCACTATCATTTACAATGCATTTTCCTCATCGTTTCTGAATTTTATGGGCTGGGCTCAGAGAAGTTAGTCACCGAGAACAAGATCACACACCCAACATGTGGCAAAGTGTGCCAGGGACTTCCTAAATACATGCTCCAAATTCTTACTGAACTCGGTTTAAATCAATCATCATCTTGTCAAAAAAGTCTCCTCAGGCCACCTTATCTAAATAGGACAGCCATCATTCTCCATCCTTTTACCCTTTTTTTTCTTCTTCCAAGCATTCATCGCTACTTGACAGGGTATATGTTTACTTTTTAATTGTCTGTCTCTCCCCCAGCTGAGAACAGGAATTTTTATCTCGTTTGTTTATGCTGTATCCCCAGCTCCTAAAACACTGCCTGGACATAGTGGGCACTCAATAAATGCGTGTTGAACAACTAAATACGTTATGTGACCTATGGAAATACCGCGGCAATAAGATTTTGACAAATCAAGGGCAGCCTCAGAGACACAATTACAATTTAACTCAACAACATCATCAGCATCAGTGCTTTTCACATATAACAGATTTCTCCCACCTTTATCTTCTTTGGTAACTCACCAAAATTTTCTTGCTCTTGGGTCCACTTCAGAACTGCTGCTTTTCTTGAAAAACCTCTGTGTGAATGAGAAGGGGGAAATTACACCTAAAGAAAGAAAAACTGGACAAGAGAATGACAGATCATCTTGGTTTTCACACCTTCAAAGTGATGAATCTATATCCTTTCACTAGTCTTTGGCTAATCCCTTCACACCTAATTTAATGCTAATTTAATCAGTCTGATAGGATTTAAAAGAGGCCACATTCTCAGGGTAGAGTGGATTAGAACCCTGCCAGAACAGGAGTGTGTGTCCTTAGAAAGAATATAGTCAGTGTTATGATTTGGTCCAACTGTTCTCCTCAGTCAAGAGCCTTTTGCAAGGACTTGCTCACCCTGAACACTCTTATTTATGGAGATCTTACTCTATATCACATCAAAGAGGTCACGGCCCACATAAAATATACTTCTGATGAGATTTAATTGAGTTGCTTGCCTAGCTGACAAAATCTTAGATTTGGTCCATTTCATTAAATTCCTTTACTAATCTCAATTTCATAAATTTCTTTTGGTAATATGGAGCTGCTCTCCCTGCCACTCTCTACCACCCCCCCTAATGTTTGTGTAAGTCTTCGAAAAGCCGTTTGTACTGTACCTACAGTGAACGAAGCATCCCTTTCCGAGCTCCTACTATGTGGCAATTCTGGAGCTCCCACATCCTAGGATTTTAAACCTTTGTCATTCTGAAACCCACTGTACCCTCACATCTCCACCAAGCACATGCATTTAGTAGATCCCCTACCTTATTTCTTTGTGCCAAAATTTCAGCTTCAGAGAACGGAAACGGGGGACCCAAGAAGCTCCACCTGTCTGCTGCAGGGCGCTTGGCCTGCTCCCCAGGCTCAGGAAACTGGAATGAGATCTCCCTCACAGAGACTCTTAGCACACTTATAATCTAGTCCCCCCAGGTGCCCAATAGCAGTGGCGTCACCAGATCCCATATCTGGCCTCCATGCTATCAGCCCAAATTCACAAAAGGTAGATATGTCCCTTATATCACCAGTGTATCTTCCCCGGGTCGTTGATTGCCTTTATATTTTATTTATTTAATATTGCAGCCTACAAAAAGTTTTGCATTTTCATGTAATAAAACCCACCAATTTTTTTTCCTTCATGGCTTTTCCTTTATTTGTATACTTAAAAAAGTAGTTCCTAGCCACTCAGTACTCACCTTAGGTATTTATTTGCTTATGTTTTCTGCTAGCTTAGGTATGGGTTTCATGATTTTAAATTAAACTCTGTAATCTATTTTGAATTTTTTTGTGTATAGGATATAATATAGAGCAAAGATCATTTTATCCCCTTTTAAATTGTGAAATACATTGTTAAAGAAAAAGCATAAAATACATATTATGGTTCGATGCAAACTGATATATAGGTTTTATATAAAGGGACTTTCTATCTTTTGCTTTTTAACAATTTATATTTTTGGAGATTTATAAAAGACGGAATGATTTCAGTTTTTAGAAGATTGTTGCAACATTGTAGTTGACTCCTTTTCATTTTGTCTTCTTAGCAGCATTTTAAGGCACATTCAATTTGTTGAAAGCTAAAGGTCATAGATTATGTGTCATCATATTAACTGATTTTTTGAAAATTGATAAGAACAACCTGTTGTTTTCCCACTATTCACTCATTTAATCATTCAACATTCATTCAATTGGTAAAATTAAAATTTTGACAACACCTTGCTTGGGAGATGGGGATCAGTGAGATCTCGTATGATCGTTGGTGGGCTATACATTGAAAGAGTAATTTTGGGAAACCATTTGCCATTCTCTTGCAAATTTGAGCATTCCTATCCTCTATGAATCAGTAATACCATTCTTGGTTATACCCAAGGCAAAAAAAATTTTTTTTTTTTGAGGAGATCAGCCCTGTGCTAACATCTGCCAATTCTCCTCTTTTTTTGCTGAGGAAGACTGGCCCTGGGCTAACATCCGTGCCCATCTTCCTCCACTTTATATGGGACGCCGCCACAGCTTGGCTTGCCAAGCGGTTCGTCGGTGCGCGCCTGGGATCTGAACCAGCGAACCCCGGGCCTACGCAGCGGAGCACATGCACCCAACCACTTGTGTCACCGGGCCAGCCCCCCGAGGCAAAATTTAACTCATGTACTTGCACAAGAATTTCATGGAAGCTCTCTTTTTAATAGCAAAAAAGCTGAAACAACCCAAATGCCCATGACAGGAGAATGAAAAAATACATCATAGTTTATTCAGACAGTGGAATGTTATACAGCAGTGAAAATAAGTAAAATAGAGCTATGTGCAACAACATGGTGATGGGATCTTTTTAGCTATTCTTGAGTCAAAAAAGTGTCTCAGAAGGTGACATATTGTATAATAACCTTTCTATGAATTTCAAAAACAAGTAAAACTAAACAATAGATATTTAGCTAGGCATACAAATTTAAAACATCTGAAAAAAGACGACCAGAAAACACAAAATTCAGAATAATGATTCCCTCTGGGATGGAAGGATGAGATAGATGAGGAGCCCAGAGGAGATGTGAATTATTGGTAATGATCTTATTCTTGGATGGGTTCACAGGTATGTATTCATCATTTTACTGAAAATAAAAACAAATGAAAGAATAATTAAACTAAAAGGAGCCATGCACAGAACAATGGTGACAAGAAGTCATGAGATCAGGATTATGATTAATCTATTCATGTGTCCCTAAGGTTCTATCTCTCCCTTCTTCCGACAGCCAGCAAAGAATCTCACAAACACTCAGACAGAAGAATGAAGTCCCTTTCAAAGAAAAAAAATTAGGACAGCTCCCTAAACTCTTTGCAGCACTTCATGCCATAACTGTAAATAAAACTCACGTCTTGGTCATACTTTAACGATTTGGTTCTAGTTTTCTTGTGTTGAGATCAGCGAGGCAACTTAGCCATCAGACTCTGGGTGACCTGGGGACATGGAACCAGGGACATGCCACCAGTGACCTCACATTATCCAGTGTCTTCTAACTTCACTCCACCCCATAAAAGTGGGACTCAAAACCAGCAATGTTCTGAAGAGGTGGGGCCTCATAAAAGTGCCAGGGGATAGTATATACAGACAAGAGCACACGCCATGCTGCCCTCTGCTATGAATTCAAGGGCTGTAGGTAAACACAAAGGAAGAGCAGGAATGGGAATGCTACTATGCCAGAGCCGAGGCAAAACACAGAACCTTGGAGAAGCCTCTTCTCTCTTGGGCGAATGCGACCTGTTCATTCATTTCCCCAGATATGAAATATCTAATGCATGCCACTGTGGGCCAGGCACTGTGCTG